GGGGGGGGGGGGGCAGCAGAAGGTACAACGTTCTATAAACCTAGCTATTATCATCGATCGATCGTCATGCCTCCGTGTTGTTAAACAGAAGTAATAAGGTCAGAGATTACTCGTCTGACACGGCAATTAGTTTACCACTTTCATCGGCGAACAACCGAACCCTTGGAACCTCGACCTTCCACCATTACTGATGGGGTAAGACTATGCCTTCACCATATTCACTACAGTCACCTGTAACTATCGATTCTTAAACAACCTATATTTTCATTTGGTAGATTATCCAAGTCCTAGCAATCTCAGCTATTGGAGGGGTTTTGGATCTCTTGCTGGTATTCGTTTGGTAATCCAGATAATTACAGGCATTTTTTTAGCAATGCACTATACGCCTCATGAAGATTTAGCTCAACGGACGGCAGTGGAAGAGCTGTGGCATGTGATGATAGCGGTGGCAAACTGATCCTGCCCCGCAAGTGCCGGTTCCATTGCCGCCATTGCTCCATCGGGCAGTGGGGCGGTGGGGCAGCGAGGGAATGTGTCCGCAATGTAGGAGGCACATTCCACAGTCAAGGGGGCAGTCCTTGTCACTATGGCATGCAACAACACTTCCCACTTCTCAATTGGCATGTCATGGGGATGTATTGATCAATACTTTCGGGTATGTATTGTTGGGTTATAAAGCAAAGCACAAAATCATTTGTGATGAATATCAGATGATTCAGCTCCTTGTATGATTCAGCTACTTGTATCTTCTTCCAAGAATATCGGATAATGCACCTGCTTGTTCTGAATATACACCATGAATAGTACAAGACACTACATGCTGCTCGGTGAGTCAAGGACTGTAAGCCTGTTAGACATGGACATCTGCATCCATATAACCTCGTACTTGTTCTGGCATATATACCATGAATAATACAAGACACTACATGCTGCTCGGTGANGCCTGTTAGACATGGACATCTGCATCCATATAACCTCGTACTTGTTCTGGCATATATACCATGAATAATACAAGACACTACATGCTGCTCGGTGAGTCAAGGACAGTACGCCTGTTAGACATGGACATCTGCATCCATATAACCTCGTACAGTGTTAACTGGCATATGCCTGGACCTGCTTTTGATCCACCAATACTTTATTTCAAGACAGGTTTGAGTTTCACATCTGTAATAAATGTGATTTCCATCTCACAGATGGTACAGACTCCCACTTCAGAGACCCACTGAAACAGGAAATAATGAAAGGTAACAGACACTGAATCATTTCGGGGAAAGCCAAGCCATCGCTAGAATTTCAGGAGGTTGAACTCACAAAGGACGGCAGTCATGGTCAAATCAAAACAGATCCAACAGAACATTACTTAGCACTCTCATATGCCAGGGAAATGCCACCTCTCAGGTTCCCATAGTCATCCATCCTTGAAATCAATTGCAATACACGGATAGATACCTGATGACAATTGTAGCTCACTCTACCCCACATCGAGAAGTACCTTAATAACTGGGTGAGAGAAATGGATGCTCAAGTAGAGCTGTGCCTGAGCAGCAGTTCCCCTTGGTAATCAATGGCAAATACCATCCATGGGGGTTAGGTGGAGGCAAAGATGGGCTAGGGTGCTTGCTCTTTCCACCCCTCTCTCTCTCTCTCTCACACATGCACACACACACACGCACACACGCACACACGCACACACACACACACACACACACACACACACACTGTTACATACAGGATTCCACACGGGCCCTGTAAGGCCCGACGGCTAGGTCTAGGGGGTTATCCCAGATGGTGACGATGCCGGGCCAGTCCGGCATGGGTTAAAGACCGGACCTTTGGAATGGTCGACGGTAGGCTGCAATGACTTGCTGGTTCCAGGTTGCCTGTAGCCTCTCTCTGACGAGGCTATACCTTAGGTAGGGACAGATTCATAATTTCGTTTGGCTGGGGGCTAACCGAGAGACCTACCTATGAGAAAAAATCATGAGGGACATATTTGTAAATATAGGAAATATGGGCCCCGTACTAACTCGGATTTCCTACAGCTACCCTAACTGCGAATAGCAGACCCGGGCTACCCCTAGGACAGACAGGCCCAATGGGCCTACGCTGATAGATGGTCCTATAACCTATAGCCGGATAGGGAGAGGCCCTAAGGGCCGAAACAGAAACGGTACCGGTCGGTCAGTCAGTCCGGTCTAGGTCGAGTCTAGGCTACGGTAGAGTATAGATAGGTTGGGAGCATCGGTCCGGGGCTTTTGGCAGTTGACACTTCGTGGTGGAAGTTGCTGCGCACGCAGCATCAGGTTGTGGTGACTGATACATGCGTGGGAGACGGCGGACATAGCCAGACCTTCGGAGCGCTAACCAGACTGGGGTCAGCGCTGTCCGCCCTGACTCCCTGGGAGTCAAAGCTGTCTGGGCTATCAGGGGTCTGATACGTTGGAGCACATGGTGCACTGCTGACCCTCCTCAGGAGTAGGGTCCCAGTGGTGATGCAGCCATAGCTGCATCTTCTCAGAGATTATCATCGTCTGGACTTCCTCTTCATCAGGGACTGTTGGCGCTGAGCTTCTTCCACATCACTTGAGTGACAATTGGCTCTGGGAGCCTGTTTCATCTTGGCGCAGGCTACTGAGTTGGATGTCAGGGTGGCGTTGGGTGTTACCTGGGGTTCTGGTGCTATTTTTAGCTGTCCAGAGTGTGTGGGGTTGAGGCGCTACCCCTCTGAGGGTAGCGCAGCAGGGTTCTGAGGTTATTCAGGGAAAACGATGCTCTGAGTTTAATAAACAGTTGTAATACTGTGTTTGAGTCGTCATCTCTTCATTTCAGTCGGTTGTCTTCTATGAATGATTGTTGGAACCTGTGTGGAGAGAATCCACAGTTTTGTGTGTTCTGTCACTCCTCTGAGTCTTCCGCTCCATTCTTTCTGTTGGGCGGTGTGACACTCCACTACCTCTCTCCTTCCTTCTGTGCATGTATGGGCGTGCACGGGAGTTCCTGTGAGTGAGCGTTGACAAAATTTCAACAGACAATCATGTTCATAACAGTTGGTATCGGAGCAGATCGGACCTAGACAGTGGCGAGATGATGGACTGAGGCAGCCATCACTACATCAGAGCTTCTGATGTTGGATTTCATGGTGGAATCGCATCTTCAGTACTGCGCTCAGTAGGGTGTTGGTGAGGAGCATGTGGAGGCTGGTATGACACAGAGATTGGTGGCGATTCAGTGCTCAGTGGCCTGGGAGGCACTGAGCGGCTATTTTTAGCCCAGGCGTTGACTCTGCTAGTGGCGAGATATCTGTGGGTATGTCGAGTTTCAGATTCTGAGCTGGATTCAGTGAATCTGAGTAGTGGGGATTAATCGCCATCTCAAAAGCTTCAGTATAACCAAGTTTCAGGAGATTTTGAACGTGGGAGCACCAGCAACAGTGAATGGAAGAAACTTGCGAGATGGCAGCCATAGCCAATTCAGCTTCTTCTTCAAGTGTTTTGACCTGAAGTAAGTGTGTTCTTTACTCAAGTCTCTGTAGCGAGTCTGATAGTTGTAATTAGACTGGAGAAATCGAAATTGGATGTCTGTAGTCCGTGAAAGTTGAAAATCGCACTTCCTGACTGCCATACCTATTTCTCCTACCTATCTACTTTGACTTCTACTGACTCTGTTTGACCCCCTCTCTGTCTCAAATAGCATCTCTGACTGTTTTACAGTATTGCGATTCAGTACACCCTGGGAATTGGAGAGTTCAGGGTCTATTGGTCAGTGATAATGGAATTCTGAGTCTTGCGCTGCCATAGCCAGTGCTTGGGGCAGCTAGGGTTTGGTAGATCTTAGGTTTTGTCCGTCAGAATTTCAGTATGTCAGTCACCCTGAATTCGCAATTCAGTATTGAGTCAGTGTCTGAAAGCGTTATACTGGAATTGATGTTTTGAGTGAGATACAGTAATATCTGTACTTCGCCTCACCCATAGTGGGGCATACAGGGTCCCACAGTGCCAGTGTCAGTAATAGGAGTCTAAAAATAGCTTTATTAGTCATCCGCTGCATCTTGATTGATTACTGGGTTGTGTTCATCGCTACTGACTCTCTGCGCTATTCTAACCCTTCTACTTACAGTCCTAGGTTGCATCCTGTCTGATTCTCTGACAGCGATTCTGGGGTTATTGCACTCAGATGAGGGTTTTGGGCTGTGAATGAAAAATCGCAAGTTGATTTTATCTGGGCTTGCCCTAAACTGACCCAGAATAGCCCTCAGCAGCCTGCAGAGGCTGAGCGCTCTTCTGCCTATCACACCACGTCTCTTCTCATCAGGTGGCAGTGATTACATCCTTGGGTGTGTGCTGTAATCTTAATTTCTGCTGACCTTGTTTCTGCGTGTCTTATTTATTTGACAGTGTGGGTATGTAACGATGGCGGACGCTGAGATGAAGGTTGAGGAAGGGGAACCTTCTGCTCAACCTCCTCCACTTCCTCCCTCACCCTTGGAACAGGCCCTGCTTGAAGCAGAGGAAAACCGCAGAAAGGCAGAGGCCCGTGTCCAGCGGTTGAAGGACATGAAGAAAGCTGAGGAGGCTAGCAGGAAGGAGGAGAGGAGGAGACAGTTACGTAAAGAGGTTGAGAAAGTTGTTGTTAGTGGTACTTCCAGTCAGTATA